CCCTTCCATTGTGATATAAATGAACCCCAAGCACTCATTAGAATATTACCAGAATTTACATAATTATTAGGCCAGCAATTATTTTTATAATAATATGTTGATTTATGAACCAATTTGTCATTTGCATCATTACTTATATATGAAAAATTGTGTAAAGTGAATTTAACAAGATAACCACCAATCATTAATAAATCATTATTTGTAATAAACTTCCCATCACGATATTCATTATGTATTTTACCATTAACTATAAAGTCACTGTATTTTTTTTTTGTAAAGTTAAGAAATTCTAAAAATTTAAGTTAAATGATTTAAATATTTTATTACTTTGTTATTATAATAATAAAAGTATATATCAATTAATTAATAATTGCTTACTATAACACCCATCGCATAAAATTATACATTTGTCATCAGAAACATCACTTATAGACACGCCAACAGAATCATCTCCTTTTTTAAAATCATCTTCAGAATATTTAAAGCAATTATCATTATCTTGCAGGATAGTTCCTTTGTCAAGATCAACTGTCCATCCAACAATATATTTATCATCCTTACTGTGAGTTACTAAAAATTTTAAATTAGGACTATACTTTATTTCATCAATATGTTGTTGAATAGCATCATTGTTTGTATTTAAATTAGAGTTATGATTGTCTTCTTTGATAATTGATGAATTATTTTTTTCTGTATTCAATACTGTTACTACTTCTATAATGTCATTATTATCATTCGAGTCAAAGTTATTTTTTTCCATTTTTTTTTTAAGAAAATTGGAAATTTTTCAGTGTTGTCCGAGTCACAAATAATAATTTCCGCTAATATATATAATGTATAGTAAATCAAAAAACAATGTCTCACTAACAATCCTCGTTAACAATAAAAAAAATAAAGAAAATAATTATACAGGATTAGTATAAGACTAGTCCCTTATTTCTTCGAGTTTGCTTTTTTATGATTAAAAATAGGTTTATTATATATACTATTATAAACACAGTTATAAGAGGACGATGAAAACAAAATAACTAAAAAATGAAGTTGAGAAAATTAAACGTTATTTATATATCCTAAAGGCTCAATCATCTAGTTTCCGGGAACTTTCTTGTTCTAATTTAATACTTATTAAATCACTATTTCACAGTGTACAAAAATAAAATCTAAATTTATTATTCATTACCTTTTTCTTAATCTGGAGTATACATTACGCCTATTGTTCTTTGCGGTTTTAAAATAGCGTTAAACGTTATATTGGATTGGTAAGTTGAGAAATTTGGTCGTACAATATCTAATGCAATCAAGGAGTTATTTATAAAGTTTATACTCTCAGGCAAGTATCAAGTGAAGCTGGTTTAAAATCATTCTCTACCGCTCTATTCTCTGATCGGAAGGAAGCACGGGAAGGACATAAAATTCGACCAGATATACTTACTTGGTATGGGCGAAAAAGTTCTCGACTTTCAATGATGAAGAAAGTAATAATAACTTTTCAGAAAATGCCTATTTTTAGACAAATTTTTTCGTGGATATTTTATTTATATTATTATAGAATGATCTGCAAAAATACACAAACTTTAAATTAAAATTTGAAATCAAATCAAACATGAAGCGTCATTTTTCTTTTTTATGATTTCGAAGTTATAAAATAGCTTTGGAGCTTAAACAGTTTATTTAAATAAAAGTTCAATCATTTGATGTAATTGAATTCTTGAATTAATTATGAATAGTTGGAATGATTTGAATAATACACTCGTTTTTTGTTGTTATTTTAACAAGTCATACAAACGCAAAAAAATTTTTATGCACAATTAACGGGCAATGTTCGTTTCAGGAAATTTATTATCCGCTAATACAATACTAAATCGAGATAACAGTTAATATCATGTAATATGTTACATTAAAATAAAAATTCACAATATGCTCCGATACAATTGGTTATAATAAAAGAATCCATTCGTTCATTTAGAATGCCAACATTATAATAATCTTCTATTTTTGTTTGTATTTGTTCTTGAGAACTTTTATAAGAAGTTTCAATTTCAATTTCTTGACGTTCCCAATTACATCTCTTTATTTATTTTTACATCTTATTAACGCGCCATAAGGAAAAATGGCGGTTTAGATTATCGGTGTGTAATTAATTAATGCAAAATAATTGTTACACGCGCATATTCCGCATATTGATTTTTATACAGCATTATTAAAGATTGGATTGTTTTTCAAAATGGTCAATTTATTCTATTTCAAATTGACAAAATCCTAGAAAATCTAGAAGTATGAAAGTTTATACACATAATCTCCAGAAATTTCGCTACAAATTTGATATCGTTATTATCTTCTACCATTTGAAATTTAAATTATTTTCAACCATAGAATAAGTTAAATATTTTTAGTATTATATTGCGAAAAAAAAACCACCCACTGTTAAATACAGTGCGTTGCGAAAAAAATTACGCGTGAATTGTAAAAAAAATACATGTTTACATGATAACCATTTTTATAAATGTTTATTTATTCTTTTTTTACAAAAAAAGAAATTATACAACTACATTGTTTATTTCGTTTAAAACCTTGCAAACATGACCAATAAAAAACTTGAGGCGGAACGTCAAACAATTCTACATTACTGGCTAAATGGAATTCGTACTGCTAAAGAAATATATAACAAAGATTCCCATTCGTACAGTGCCTTTTTCTTTGAGTTTTTTGATGTTGTTAAACATATTGGAGGTTACACATACTGTTTCGCGTTCAATTGGGCAACTGGTTCACCATAATTCTGCAATTACAACATGTCAACTTGCAGTTCGAATTCAAGATACACATAATGTATCTATTTCACATACTAATATTTGACGACACATAGCAAAAAGGGGGTGTAATAATGCCATACCACTTTCCACCCCAATGCTTACCAGTAGTCATATCAATGCTCGAAAAACATGGGCACAGGCTCATTTGAACGATAACTGTGACTATACCATCTTTACAGATGAGACTGCTTTCGATTTATTTCGTAATAAAATTTCAAAAATGGAGAAAGACCAGTTAGAAGATTACCGAAATCACGACAAAAGGTAATGGTTTAGGGTGGAATTCCATTGAATGGCAAAAACTTTTTGTTTTGCTTTACTGGGTCCTTTCTATGTGAATATTTGCAAACCCAGCTTCTTCCTGTTGCTCAACAGCTATATGGTAGAAACTGACGTTTGCAACAAGATAATAATCCTAAGCACACTTCGCATGTTGCAAAGGACTTTTTATCCCAAAATAATATTCATGTTTTAGACTGGCCAACAAACAGTCCCGATCTGAATCCCATTGAAAATATGTGGTAGATCGTAAAAAATGATGTAGAAAGAAGAATGTCTGGAAATACTGGTGAGTTGAAACAATTTATGGATGAAGAATGGGATAAAATCCCTCACGAAACAGTACAAAATTTAATTAAATCTATGAAAATTGTTGTGAATTAATATTACAGAAAAATGGAGATAGAATTACGTATTAATTTTTTTATATTTAATAAAGTAAATAATGAGCCTTCAAATGAATCTATTTTTATTTATTTTCAACGTGTGATTGTTGAAATATACATTTTTATTTATGCGCAATTTTTTTCGCAACACACTGTATATTAGTGGAAGTAGTTGATTTCAACGAAGAATCTCTCAAAAATCAATTTTTCAAGGGATTATCAAGATGATAATAAATTAGAGGCTATGATGTGCAGATTAAAACTTCCATTAGATGAGTTAGTAGAGTAGTTAAACAATATAAAAATTCACACCAGTGAAATGAAATCTATGAAAAGTCTTGCTGCTTAAAAGGAGATAAAGAGGTGGAAAATATTTATGAATTGATTTTTTTGGTCGTAATTTACGAATACTTTCTATGAAAGATATATATTTCCTTTCCAACTTTTTTAGTCTTTCATTTTTCTGTGATGTTGAACTTAAATCATTAAAAGACTTTAACTTGGTTGAGTTGTTAGAAGAGTTAGAGAGGATAAACTTGCATTAGCAGAAGAGTTGGTGGATGAATTATGACTCATAGAAGATGGTAAGGAATGAAAAAAGTCTTTTTTTTTTTTTTTGTTACCATAATTATAAATAAAGTTTAAAATATATTGTGCATAGCAAATATTACATAGATACTTGCCAACTTCTAACCTAATACCATTATCTTTACATTTGATCAAGGCATCTTCAGTTACCCTTCTCCACTTTGTTGATTGGGTATTATGACATAAATGACAAATTCTTTCTTGCTCTTTTGTTTTTCTCATTTTTAGAAGTCAATAGTGTCCTAACTAAAAATGTACTAATCTTCAAAATGTGATTATTCTTGACCAGTCTATTTTGAAATGGGATTACCAAAGTAGTGAGTAATATGAATATAGATGAACAAGTTTGCTTAGGTGCACAAGTGTGACTGTTATGTGAGTTATACGCATGTGTGTATGGCGGTACGCAGTTTCCTATATAAAAAACATAGAAAATTGATCTACATTTAGATATCACAGGGCGTCAATCGAACAAATTGGCCCATATGCTACTCACGGCAGAAGTTGATATTTTTAATTTACCAGAACTATTAGAACCAATCCTATATTCTCCAGCAAAAGATCAATCACTCTATCCTACTCTATTTGTTAATCGGTTTTGGTATAGATGTAGTGCATCCCTTCTATGAAAATGTATTGAGTTGAGAGAATGTATTATATGGCAAAAAGAATTTATAGAGTCAATATGTGCAAATCAAAAGCCATAGAAGTAGATGATTGGCATATTTTTTATAATAAAAAACGGGGTTAATATTTGGGGTTTGTACTATATATATTAAAAAACAAAGATGATTAAAGATTTACAAAAACATAAAAATGTAATTACTGGATGAATAACAATACCTTACCTCAACACACATCAAAGATATAATAAGTTTCTCTATAATTTGCAAATTATCAATTGATAAGGGTAGTTTAACTTTTTGAAACAAACCTAGATGCCAAACTCCTCTTGTTTTCCAATCCAACCCATATATGTTAAAATTATAATCTAAAATCAAATAGATTGTGTTTATGTAATAGGAATGTACCGAAAAAAATTAAAATTATTGAACTTACTAAATGTGTGTACTCCGAGAATAAAATATTGTGAAACTTGTTTGGATCTATGCCATTGTTTTCTATTCCTTTGTTTGTCAACACATCTTGTAACACAACTGCTAGATCAACTTTGTCCATCCATTTTTTACTTTTTGGTGCCAAGGGAAGACCACTAGATCTTAATCCAATTAACATTTCAAATTGATCCTTGCTGATTCTGAAATCCATCTTTTGTCCAATTAAGCTTCTGT